TAACTCTTGGAGTCGTATGAATGTCAGCAAATCCCAGCTTCCACAAAAAAAAAAAAACAAAAAAAACCCCACCAACCCCAAAACAAAACAAAAAAACAAACAAAACAAAAAACACCAAAACAAAACAAAACAAATAAAAATCCCCAATAAATTAAAAAAAAAAAAAATAAAACCAAACCCAACCCAATACATGTGAAACCTTCAAAATGATGAAGAGCTTGAATGGAAAACCCTTATGCTAGAGAAAGAAAGGCAATTAAAGACCAGCAGAAATGTTTTGTATGTGTGTATGTCTGTAGGTGTATCTCCATCCATCTAAACCTCCTGGGTATGAAGGATTGAGGTTAGCAGCTGTGTGGCACTGTGCTGCTCCAAAATGATGCTTTGGTTCTAATCAATCACACACTTTCAGAGCTCATCCATTCCTTACTCAGTAGTTTTAATTTTGTAGGTACAGAAGCAGTTAGATGGGGAAGACATGGCTGCAGCACTCAGAGGAGAGGCTGTTTTATCTGCATCTTGCTGTATTTGTTTTGTGGTTCCTCAGATGGATATAAAACACATCTAAACCACAGAGAGTGCGCTGGGTGATGTGGCGTTGCTGAGCTCAGTTAAATAATGAGCTGTGCTTCATTCAAATCAGAATAACTCTAAGCCCTGAATACTAAATAGGGCAGCAAAAAGCCTTCAACACACAAAATAAATGAGTAAAAAAGCCAAATGAAACTGTCTAATAAATCCAGCGTGGAGCAACAGGCTGCATGTAGAGGAGGAATTAAGGCAATTTGGAGCGTGCGGGCAGCGCTCCGCTCTCAGATGTGCAGCTGCAGTGGATGCACACATCACAGGACAGGCTCTGTGCAGCACACACCTGCCTTTGATAGCACAGGTTTATGACCTCGCAATCCTGGAGCATCTAAAGCAGCAGCAATTCCATCCAGCTTCAAACAGCTGCTGGAGCTGCTGTGGATACAGGCTCCCTGGGGCCAGAGTTGGTGCTGGCATGATGGGAGGAAGGCTGCTGACAGCTGATAGCAGTGGGGCTGCACTTGATTACATCACAAGAAATCTGGCACGTGGAGCTGAATCAGAAGTCTGAGCAGAAATGTCCATTCCTCATCCAGAGTTAAAACAGGGACTCCAGCATTGCCGATCCACAGAGATTTGTCTGGCCCAGATGTAGCTGTTGCTTTTCAGGGTTGTGCTTTAAAAGTGCATTCCCCCAGTTCCACTCAGCATGGTGACTGGAAAAACCCCTTAAGGACTGGGTTTTGCTGTCCTGTCCTAAGGGATGAAGTCCCTGATCTTCCCAGTATCAGCACCATGAGTGTAGCTGCTGAGCTGGGCTGGGGCTGGGTCGCAGCAGAGGGTGAGAACACCGAGGGGTCTTATCAATAATTGATTATTAATCAATAATTATCAATAATTGACAATTAATAATTGTCCAGGGGCCAGGCACACAGCCCTGGCTGCTGTCCTTGGCAGGAGCAGCTCCCAGTGCCCTGCCCTGGCTGCTGGCAGCCTGGGTGGTGGGGATGAGCTGCTGCAGGTGCATCCCATCCCCTCCTCCCTTCCTGCTCTGGGGCTCGGACTGCAGCTCCTGCTGATGCTCCAAAGCCATTCCTCACAGAATTGTTACAAGAAATTAGATTATGTTACGTTAATTTCAGCTGCTGCAAAAATTGCCCCAATACTGTGTTTTTTCTTTTTATTAAAATACTTATTGCTGAAGTGATTTCCATGAAAATTAATTAAAACAAATTAATGAAAAGCAGCTGAAAAATGGACTCCTCTACTGAAACTGTGGTATGCAAACTCTTAACCTCAATCACATATTTGTGGTTGCTCTATAAACACCTAAGTGTATAGCAGTGATTTGTCACGGTGTTTTTTTGATGGAAATTCTTAGAAAGTGAGGCTACATAATACATTTTCTCTCAGTTTACATACAGCTTGCTATAATGCACTTACCTGCTCTGTTTAGCAGTGGGACTGATCTGCAGTTACAGCTTTGCTCTTCAGTAGGGGGAAAGAAATGAAAAAGATGCTGTTGGGTGCAGAGTTTCTCCATCATGTTTTCTGCTTGAGGGGGGCAAGAGGAACCTTTGTTATGGGCTCATAGCAGCCTGGGGCGTGGGTTGTGCCCTGCAGAATGCAGAGGCTGAGGGAGAGCTGTCCTCTCTGAAAGCTGGATCCAGGTGGGATCCGGTGAGCCATGGCAGATCCCAGTCTGGATCGTCTGGAGGCATCAGGGGAGCTTCTGCAAACAGCTCTGGCAGGTGTGGCAGGTGTCTGTGCTCACAGCAGTGTGCAGAAAGCAGAGCTTAGCCCCTGCTGTGCAGCAAATGCAACACTTGCATTCTAGAACACGTCAATGTTTCGGTTCCCCGTGTATATTTATTATTATTTGTATTTCATGGTCCCTTTTGGCGCAGGGATGTGGCAGGGGTTTGTTTGCTTTCTCTGAGGATGTGAGGGAGGTCATGCTATGAAAGGCAGAATGTTGTGCACGTTAGAGGACAGGAATGGCCAGGTTCAGTGGGCCTTGGGAAGAATTCCTTACATAACTTTCAACCTGGAGAGGTGCACTCGGTCTCCGTGGAGAATTGTGAGCAAGCTCTGCCAGCGGGCTGCCCCTGGAGAGGGGAACCAAAAGCTTTCATCAGTGTTCCTCCCTTGGAAACCAGCTGGCTGCTTTCTCCAGTGTGCCCCACCCTGGCACAGCACCCAGCCCTTTGGGACAGGACAGCTCAGGGGGGGCAGCTGGCTTGAACAGATTCTATTTACTGTGCCCCCCTTGGGACTGATGTGAGAAAATCCCACGTTTTCTGCCTGGGGAGCTCTGTGTGGAAGCCCTCCATGAGCTGAACATTTCAGAGCAGAAGGACCTCCACAGGGAGGCTTTCTACCCGCTGACATTTCTGTGCCCATAACCATTCTGAACAACAACAACAACAAAAACACCAACAAAAAGCAAACAAACAAAAAATATCAAAGAGGTTAATGAAACCAGCAGTGATTTTCTCTAAGGAGTGCTGGCAGTTTCAACAATTGCCATTAAGTGCAAGCAGTTCCCCAGACTGTACATCCTAGGCCAACTTCATCCTTGCTGTAACTCCTCAGAACTCAGTGGAGTCACATGAGGGATTCATTTGGTGCATTGCTTTCAGCCATGGGTTTTGGAGAATATACAACAACTGAGGGAACTATTATTGTCAGCATTGTTTCTCCAGAGCTGCTCAGTGTTTGTGTGCTGCAGATACATCAGCAGGGTGAGTGTGTGGAGTGAAGTTACGGGCTCAGCGTTGAGGGTAGTGGGTTTTTCAGTTCTTTTTTGTACCACTAAAAGCAATAAGTGATCTAGCAGCCATTATTGCTGCCAGCCTTACATGGATGCTTGGATACAGCTACACAGATTGTTGGAGCGTGCACAGAAACATTTCACATGGCAGACCACAAAACATTTCATGGGGAGTAGAAAATACCTGGAAATCTCAAAGTCCTGTTTTATCACACCGGCTGACTGATGATCACAGTGTTCATGCAAATTTAGCTATACTTATTGCACCAAGTAAAGCTAATTTATGAGGCAGACATGAGGGTAGAGACAAGACAGAAACTTCAGAGGACTTCTGTGTTTCCTTAAAAACCAAAGTGTCTCTGTAATTTTCAGAATAAGCTGAGGAAAGCATCAGCTGGCAAATCTGAATTGTTGGATAGTGAATCTTGCATCTGCACATAAATCAGATATTTCAGGACATGTCAGAAGGTGTGGACAGCCGCCTGAATCTTTAGGCTGTATGTAGGATTGTTGCATCAAGCTGTTGAAGTTTAAACTCTGGCTGGGACAGATGAGCTAACAACCAGCCCTGTTCAAGGTGTGTGCCCTGGAAATGGGGTGGGCACATTTCTTACTGGTCATGGATGGGACAGCAAGCCCCTTTCCTGGTTTAGTAAATCAGCTTTGCACTGATGTCTTGTTCACAAAGCAAGGCACAAACTGGTGTGATCCCCACCCTGGATCCCTCCCTGCTCAGGGTTGTGTGCTGGCTTGGTGGGGCTTCTTGCCCTCTGCCAGGGAGGCTGTTTGGGCAGTGAAGGAAGGGTTTTGTCTCTGTATCCTGTTAAAGTTTGGGTCATCCAGAGGAGTGGATGGGGTTTCTCCGGCCTGTGCTGGGGACAGAAGAGTGACAGGCTTCCCTTTACACCACTTCTCTGGATCCTTCTGCTCCTTTCTTCTCAAGAACGTTGATTTTTACAGAATTTGGGGACTTCGTCTGAGACCTTGTCCATATCTCCTGGCTGCTGCTGGCATCTCCAAACTGTGGGGTCTCGGATTACTTCCCCATTGCTTTGTCCAAGTTCTTTCTCAGCCTTGCCTCCACACTCTCAGCATCCTGCACTGTGTCTTGCTGCTGTGATTTCTGCCCTGAAAGGCCAAGAGCACAGGCCAGCAGCATCCTGCAGGCTGCTCCAGCCGGGCAGTGCAGCCCCAGCAGCATCAGCAGCAGAATGTGCCGTGTGCTGCAGCTGCACCTCCAGTCTGGGATGGTTCCTCAGCCTGGGAACCCCTGCCTGGGCCACACCAGCTCTGCCCCAGGAGATGCTCCAGAGCCTCGGTGACACTGACAGCAATAACCATCTCCCTCAGCTGAAAGGATTCATTGGTGTTAAAATGTCACAACCATTAACATGCAAGTGAGCCTTTTAAAAATCTGAGGACAATGGGCCATATCCTGGAAGAGATTTGAGGTAATTGTGTTGGTTCCAGCACGATTATCCACGAACAATGTTCTCATACAAGTAAAGGTTTGTTGGCTGGGCCTCTCATTTTTGTTAGCTTTACTTTACTGCTGTAATTACACCCAGTGGCTTATCTAATAGAGTCGTGTTCTTATAAAGAAATTAAGACAATTAATGCTACTTTTAGTGAGAGTGAAATAGTAAGTAAAATTAAATTGAAATTTGACCAAGCTTTTCTTTTTTTTTTTATTTCCTAGTGTCTGAATTACAGGAAGAAGGGATAAATGCCATTAACTTACCTCTCAGTCCCATTCCATTCGAACTAGACCCTGAGGACACTATGCTAGGTAATTCACAGCAATTTTACATCTCAACGTGAAAGCCTGGTGTAAAATGAAGTGTTGTGCCTGGGATAGTTTCTAATGTTTTTCTTTTAAACCTTCCAGAGGAAAATGAAGTCCGAACAATGGTGGATCCAAATTCAAGAAATGATCCAAAATTACAAGAATTGATGAAGGTAATGAAAGCATGTAAACCCTCTCAGGGAAGTGGAGCTATTTTTTAATGCCATCCCTGCCTCTTTCACTTGAGCACTTCAAAGCACGAGTTGGATGTGAGTTAGTTGGAACCACGGGGTGCATACATCCCAGTGAAATGGGGAGGTCATTTGTGCCACTATCTCTCTCTAGATGTGGCACAGGGAGACTTCAAAATTTCTGTTAAAATCCTGAGTCCAGAGTCTAAGATCCCCAATCTAGGATCACACTGGCTTTCCCTTGTCTTTGGGATTCTTGGGGTTTGGACTTGAGCAGGACGCATCATTAAAATCAACTTCAGCGCCTTTTGCTTCACGGTAAGATGTTAAAATGCTACTGGAAGCAAGGGAAGATTTCAATCCAGAAAACACTGCATCAGTTAGTGTTTGTCTAGACCTTGTGGTGCATTGGCACAGCCCCCTCAGATGAGCCTCCCTGAGTCTTTCCTGTTTGCTCCTGCAGGTTTGTCAGGCTGCATTTTGAGCCACTGCAGCTTTGCTATTCTTCCTGCTAAGAGAAACAACATGTGTTTTAAATTGCAAGTGAATAGTGCATAATACTGCCAAATTTGTGTTTCCCACATAGGTATTAATTGACTGGATTAATGATGTGTTGGTAGGAGAGAGGATTATTGTGAAAGACTTGGCTGAAGACCTGTATGATGGACAAGTACTGCAGAAATTATTCGGTAAGAGAAAAGCCACGTGCGCAGCGTTGGGGCGCTTTGTCAATAAGTGTTCTTGTTCCTGCCCAGGAATCATCTTACATTTGTGCCACTAGGGGATGTAAAAATATTGTGTATGATATAAAAATATAATACATAAAAATAGCACTGTGTCCCGAGCCCCCTGGGCTGTGTGTGCAGCCCCAGTGCAGTGTGATGGGAGCAGCACAGAGCCTGCCTGGGCTGCACAGCCAGGGCTCTTGTCCTGGCAACAGCATTCACCCCAATTACATTTATTATCTGCACATGGGCTGCACAAACTTCACCCTGTTACGAGTGGAAAGTAAGTTTGAAGGCATTCTCAGGAGCGTGGTGGATGTTTTTAATCTCTGCTCATTCCATGCTATAGTTTGTTCACATCGCAGGGTTCCTCTGGAAAGTTGGAATTTCTTTCTGGTTTGATGTCTGGCTTTTAACATGACTGAGGTAATGGTGCCCAGTGGACTGCAAACTGAGCTTCAGCTGAGAAACAGATAGGGAAAAGAAACTGCTAATGCAGAGTTGGCATGTGCTTTTTACACTGTTGGCTTGAAAGCCATTTTCTTAGTTATTACAGCTCATAAAGTCTCCAGTAAATTTCTTTCCAGTATCCTAAATGAGTCTTGAAACATCATGTGAGCACTTCTAATAAAGACTTCACAGACTATTCCCTTCTATGAATGGTTAAGCTATTGAATATATTGTGATGGACTGGATGTGCCCAGACTGAGCAATTGGATGGCCATGGGCAGACCTCCAGTCACTTCACCCAAAATTCAAACAATGTGCAGTAGGCACAGCCTGACTCTAAATATGCATCTAGTGATCCAGCATTTATTGACTTCAGAGGAATCTTTTCCATTGCCCTTATTTCCTTGTGGATCTGGTCTCTGATTACCAAATCTTCAGTCTTGTGGTGAGACTTTGCACAGACTGATTTCTGAGGAGGCAAAAGAAACTTATGGAGATGGCAGCTCTTGGGCAGGATTAGGAGATGGCAGCTCTTGGGCAGGATTAGGAGATGGCAGCTCTTGGGCAGGATTAGGAGATGGCAGCTCTTGGGCAGGACTCTTAGGATAGTCTCTTATGTTGGTAGTTTAGGCTCACTCCCTTTGGGGAGATACTCAGTTGGCTTTGATGGGAACAAGATCAGCTCTTAGCAAATAAGATATCTCTGAACAAGATATTCTTTTGTAGAAGTCAATTGGTAAGTGACCAAGGATTTTGTTTCTGGTGCTGCTATATTTTCATTGCTTGCTCTTTAAGGGTAAACAATAAACCATGTATGTATATACACAGCAATGTACTAATTGTAACAAACTGGTTCATAAATTATTCTAAAATCTACTACAAATTTGGAGTGCAGAAAATGGCTGTGGTTTCACAAAGAGAAATTGCCTGAGGTTTTAGCTGTTTTCATGAAAACTTGTTGGCCTTTCTGTGATGCATCCTCTGCCTCTATGAATATGGAATCACTTCTGTTTTATCACTAATAGGCCAAGTAAAATTTTTATCTCCTGGGTCAGAGGTAGAAGCTGGTAGGCTGAGACTGATGAAATAAATCTGAAAGTTGGTGTCTGTTTCCTAGCTTTGATGGCCTGCTTGCATGCAGAATAACCTTTATCTGGTGCTGCCTAAAGGGAGTTGCAGCAAATGTTTGTCAGCCAGTGGTGTGGCACAGAGCAGTGCTTGGCCTTCCCCTTGTCAGTGTGCACCTGAAGGCAAAATGGGAACTCACCTCTAGCAGCTCAGAAGTGTGGAGGGAAAGTGGCTCTGGGGAAAAAAACTTCGATATAAAATGAGCAAGTCTGATGTCTCCTGAATGTACCTCTGGTGTGTGGAATGTCTTTGTGAAAAATTGGTTTTCCTCCATTTTTTCTTCTATCACTTCAGAGAAGCTTGAAAGTGAGAAGCTGAATGTTGCAGAAGTTACTCAGTCTGAAATTGCTCAGAAACAGAAGCTACAGACAGTGCTTGAGAAGATCAATGAAACCCTTAAACTCCCTCCAAGAAGCATTAAGTGGAATGTTGACTGTAAGTTCTGTTTGCTGTACTGTTCTCATTTGTTGACAGCTGGGGATCTGTAGGTGCCACCTGGAATTCTGAAATATCCAACAGCAAGGGAGGGCTGAAACCTGGGATTTATGGTAGGAACTGCTCTGAAGGGCACTGCCAGATGTGCCACTCCACCCTCTCTACTGGTGCTCAGCCCTCAGTGTGAGTTAGGTGTCCTCAGAGTCCATCCAGGTGTGGTGGCCTTGCTCTCAAGTCCATGTGCCTGCCAGCTGAAGTCTGGAGTTGCTAACCTGCTTTGTTGAAACAGAGAGCAGTGGATGGACATGAGGAGAGTTAGGCCCAAGAACTGTGGGTGGAATTTGCAACAGAGATATGAGTAATATTTCTGACCGTTGCAGGCTGAGTCTGAACCACCAGTTTTGATTATAAAACTCTCATCAAGACTGGTTCTGCACCCTTCCTGTTCTGTTGTATTAAGAATGAACATAGCAGTATCTAACAGAAATGCCTTCAGAGGCCCAACACAAGACACTTCAGTGGATATGTATTGCACAAAGCAGGTTATCAGATTTAGGACATCAGGCCTCTTAATCTGTTTTAAGTTTGGTTTTCAGAATCATTTCATGTTGGTGAATCCTTGACCAGTACATGACATTTTCCCTGTCTCCTGTACCTGTCTCGTGCTGAGCAGTTTTGTATCCTGTTCCATTCACAACTAATGAGTAAGAAGGAGAGAAATATCTCGAGGGGGGAAGAGTGAACATTTGGCAATTTGACTTTCCCCTTTCTGTGGTCCTGCTGAACTTTTTGTCCCCTCCTTTTTCCAACCTCCCCCGAGTTTTCTTTCCATTCTCTGTTGTGCAGCTGGAGGTGGAGTGTTTGGAGCAGCCTGACAATTTAAGTTCTAGCTCTAATGTAATGTTTTGCATGTGTTTTAGAGCTGGAGACAGAGACAGCAGCAGCTGGGCCCAGCTGTGGCACACACTCTGGTATCTTGGTGGTGTTCTGCTGCAGCAGCTCATCCCTGAGCACTCCAGCAGCCTCTGCCAGCAGTGCCACATTTTCCTGAGTGTGTATCTCCATGGCAGAGCTGAGACTTGCACTGCAGGATTATGAAGAAGGGTGTTTTAGGGAAACTGATCGTGTTTCAGCAGTGCAGGAAGGTAGTGCTTCATGATTAGTTCAAGTACAAGAAACCCAAGTGCACTGCAGAGTCAAAGATCTTTTAGGAGTACTAAAACAGAGTAGAATAAGAAGAAAGGCAATAATAAGGATTGGAAATTATCCACATTCATGCCAATGATTTGATACTTGATCAGGGATTTCCTACAGTTTGGCTTTTGATGTCTTGTAAGTTGTGTTAGTGTTAACTACCCATGTTTGAAACCTGCTGCAAAAAAGCTTCAATAACAGAACTAGAACAGCTTCATGAGGAATGTTTGAGTCATTGAGTTTAATAAGCTATTGCTTAAGGCTTGTGCCAAAACAGGCTCATTTATCATCCTGCAGACATTGTGACACTTAAAAATGAATAAGTGCATGTTATGAGTACAAAAATATCTTTCTGATAGTCCATAAATCCTTATTGAAATAAAGGGAATAAAAGAGAGGCAAGGAGAATGCAGAGACAGCACTTAAACTGTCGTGCATAAAATCTGGCTTTTGGATTAGCTTTAGAGTTCCATCTCCAGAAGCCTGTGGCATCCAGACGTGCTGCAGAGCGTTGGTGCTGACGCATCTTGCAGGAGACCACTACAGATGGGACTCCTTAAAAGTGCCCCTGGCTCCAGGTGGCAAGAGGAAAAGACTCCCATAATCCCTGCATCCTAAGCAGAAGTCAAAATCCGTGCCCTGGTTATTTGCAGTTGGTAACTTGTGCTTTTAATGTCTATTTCAGCTGTTCATGCTAAGAGTCTGGTGGCCATACTTCATCTTCTGGTTGCATTGTCTCAGTATTTCCGAGCACCAATCCGGCTCCCTGACCACGTGTCCATTCAGGTGGTTGTTGTGCAGGTAAGAGGGAGCCCTGAACAGCTCTTGGCAGTGTTGTGAAGTTGGCTGAGGGGTTTCTTGAAAAATGCATCTGCAGTTTCTGGCTGGGCGAGCACGCTTTGGCTGGCAGGGAACACGGGAGCATCTTCCCTCTGACCGTGCCTCAACCAGAAAAAGGCACCAGTGCTGTCCCAGATCGAGCTGTGCCTCACAGCATCTTACTCTGACTGTGACATTAAAAATATATGAAACATTATTGTTGTTGGAATGTGTTTATCACCCAGTACGATCTCTAGAATTATTGTTTTCCCCATTTTTTGACGCTCTTCTCACTTGTGTAGAGATTCAAATCATTCTTGGCACTGAATGATGAATTGTCACTGTTTATTACATTCACATTCATGTTAGGTGACTAACTATTCTTTTTCAGCCCTGTGCATGCTAATTTAGTCTGATTACAGTGTTGGTTTTCTCAAAAGCATGCAAAAAAATCCCCGTCAACTAAATCTTTTGTCAGTCTCCTTATTAGAGCCTCATCCATTGAAACTCCTCATGTTTTTCTGTTCATCATTTTTCTTTCAGCTGAACTTGTGCTTTCTCTATCTTACTTGGCCTCTTCCCATTTAATCTGCTTTTCTTTCTCTTCAATTAACTTTGCCTTTATTTTTCACACTGCAACTGTCTTTATTTTTGTCTTTGAACTGATGTTACCCTGAAGTAACTGGTTGAAAGAGCTATTGCTCAAGTTTTATGTGGCTGAAAATCTGCAAGACAGATCTGAGAAAGTAAACATTCTCTCCTAGAATTCAAATAGGACAAGTTTTGTAGCTTAGGGAGAAATGTGAAGGAGGGTCTCTGGTAAAAGTGTCGCTGATGTCTGGCAGTGACTCACTGACTCAGATTCTGCTTCAGGGGTTTCTCTACAGATGATGAAGGAGGATCCCTGAGAATCTGCACTTCTGTGTCCAGGGCTTCAAAGGAACATAATTCCTTTGGCTATTATAAATGTATTATTTGCACTGCTTTATCTCAAAGCTCCACCAAAACCAGCTTAAGAAATCTGGAGTGCAGTAAGCAGGGCATCTTTATGCTGAAAAACTAAATGAGAAAAATGACACAGTCCTAAAGGAAAGAACCAGAACCTCTGCTGTCATTCCATACCTCCAGACAAATTCCAGGTGAAATCAGTGGGCATAATTGTCCTCTTGTTAAAGAGGCTGATGTAGTTCAGCAGCAAATCCACTGAACTCAGTACAGATAAAACAATTTAAAACAATAAGTGGTGGGAGAATCTGGCTCACTCTTAGTTCCACAGCTGCAGCTCAGTGCCAGTGCTTTGCAGGGAAAGCAGTCAGACCAGAATAAAATCCAAGTAATGGTGAAGGAGATTCTGTCCTGCAGACCCTGACCTTGGTGAAAGGCAGTCAGTGGAGCTCCAGAGCTCTGCTGATTCCTGTTACCAGGGGATGGGGGCCAGTGTATTTGCTGGAATTGTTTGAGACATTTCACATTTTTATTTTAAGGTGGGTGAGGTTTTTTATTTTTATAAATCTGTCTTTCACGTCCTGTGGGACTGATTCTGTATCATGCATCGTGTTCCCTTTGAACTCACAGGAGTTTTAATCAGCCATCAGCAGATCCTAAAGCCTAATTTAGCACTCAGACTTGCACACCTCATGTTCCAAACACTCCTGCATTCTGTAATCGAGCCTAGGGAAGTTTAACAGACTCTGCAGTAGCTGGTTTTAAATTCTGCTGGGTGTGGTTCGATAAAGAGAACAGGAGACAGAAATAAAAGAACAAAGTACTTTTATGAACTCTTTTAAGAATGACTCCCTTAATTCATTTCATGATTTTGCTAGGCATAGAAACACATAAAATGTGAGGGTTGCTGTGTTGGCTGGATGCAGTTTATTGAAATAGAAAAGAAAGATATTTGTGAAACAGAAAATGTGCTCATGTCCAGCAGGTAATCAGCCTAGCTCTTCGGAAAGCTTGTTTCCTTTGGCTGTTTTGTACAAAAGCTGTTAGCAATGAGAGTGATACCAAATCTGGGTTTAAGCTGGTTTAGGGAAAAAATGTGATAGTTGGACCTTTTGTAGCTACTCTACTATTTTCTTTTCCTGCCTTACCAGTAGAATAAATAACTTTGAACAAAGCCCAGGCTTTGTTTGATCCTATCTACTGAAATGACTGAGAGCTTTTTTGGAGAGCTGGGCCTTGTCATCATTTTGCCTCTTCTTAAAAATGATGAATTTCTACCATTCAGGAATGGTCAGATGAAAATTGTTTGTGTCCAAGAGATGGAAGTCAGAGAGTGTAAGAATGCATTGGCAGAGCAGCCAGAATGGCTTCAGCACGTTCTTGGGTGCATAAACTGCACTTAGGCAAAGCTAGGAAATGGTTGAGGTTAGATGAGTGTGTAAACCACACCTTTGATCAGAGATCACTGCTCTCACTGCCTGGGAAGGTCTGAAATGTTCTGGAGCAGCTTTGCCTCCAGGTTCCAATGAAGTCTTCTCTGAACCTGCCACAAATGTGTTTGTTCTTTCAAGCTCCAGAATAATTCTGCATTTCACGGTGGTGGGGCAGTTCTGAAACGTGGTCCTCCAGGTGAAATGAGTTGTAACAAGACACAGACAAAAAGCCATCCAAATAATGGCCAGATTTTCAGACTGGGACTTTGTGGGGGAAATGAAGCAGTTGGTCCTCAGTTACATAAAAATGCTGACACAGAAGGAGATAAGAAGAGGTCTTTTCTATTTCCAGATGTGCTACCCCAGTTTCAGATTAATTTTATTTTGTTCTAGGTGTAGTTGGCAATTTTAAATGGCAAGTGATTAGGAATATCTTCAGGGCCTTCTGTGAAGTCTTTCAGCTGTGAGGGAAGAAAATGCCAAGCCTGTTCACCAAAGGTCTTCTGTCCTCACTGGAATGCATGTCCAGCTTTTCTTTTTAATGGGGGATCTTGATTCGTGCCTCATTTCTCAGTGACTTTCAAACAGTTGATGTTGATTTTTATAGTTTGTTGTTTCAATTTTAGCCACTGTTGCCATTAAGGAAAGGAACAGCTTTCTGTATTTTTTGGAATATTGTGTCATTCTCTGTCTAGTACAAGACAAACCTCACAATAGATGCTAAGACCAGTGCTCTAAGGTCCATTCCTTTGGGAATTTGCCTGTCTCTTTACGAATCAAAGGTGTAGGAAGGTCTGTCTTGACATGTGCTGGTCAAGTAAGGGGATGCACGTTGTGTCTGGGCAGTGTGGAAATCCCATCAGTGTTGGTGCTCAGGTGCCAGACCCCAAAACAAGGGCTTGGGATCATTTTGGTTTGGGTTTTCTTGTTTGTTTTTGTTGTTATTGTCAACATCAGGATTAAGGTGCAGATGTTTTTGGTTTGCTATATATAAATCTGCAGTTCACCAGAAAGGGAAATATCTTTAATAGCAGTACAGGAGTATATTTTGGGCAGTTTTGTGTGCTTGCAGAGAGCAGGTGAAGAGCATTAGGAACCTTTTTGTGCTCCCGTGTTCCCAGTCTGATCAGTGAAAACTGCAGCTGGCCCTGCTGTGACGCTCAGCCCCTGTGGGAGATGAGAGCACCTTGCTGCACAAGGCATCAGTGGCATGGCAGAGCCATCATGAGGAGGAAATAAAAGTTTCCTTTCACCCTGCAGCAAGGGAAGAATAAACAAAAATACCAAACAGAGCGGAATTCCAAGCTGAGTTGGCACAAACCAGGCTGTGACTTGAAGTTACTTCAGTGGGTACTGGAGGCTGGACATGGAAATAGCCCTAAATTCTGTCTTTTCTTCAGCCTTTGAAGCTGTGTGACAGGCAGTGCCTCTGCAGCTGTTCTGTGCCCCCTCCTCCTGTACATAACACCCTGGATGCATTTTTTACCATGTGCAAGATACTCAGAAACAGGACTTTAAAAACCAGCACAAAACCCCCAAAACTGTCATCTGGCTGAAAGGAGAGTTCACATCACTCCCAGTGCCAGTCTGGAGTGACCCCCAGGGCCAGGTTCACCTTTTCTTGCAGAAATAAGTGTATTTCTTGATACATTTTGGTAATGCAGTGTAGAAGGAAAAATAAATCAAGAAATAGATTTTAGCAGTGCAGTGTAGAAGGAGTAGAGGAGCCTGGCTCTGCCCTCAGCACATCACATCACACACTGAGGGCTGCCTCGGGTAGGGATGTGCTGCCTTCTCCAAGGGAAAAGCAGGGAAAAGCAGCAGCCCCAATTCACATGTCATGAAGGTCTTTTCTAAAAGGTTATTCTCCTTTTCTCTTTCCCACATAGAAGATGAGTCTAGGACCAGCATAAATCTATTTTTTCTCATTTCCTTGTGTGACAGGGAGTGAGGAATCATGAGTAATTGCCTAATGTCTAGACTTTAAATGGAGTTGTCAGCATTTCCCCGACTTTTCTCTCTGTTCTGTGAATTTTTGGTGATACCAGCGAACAGAATTGACAGAGAGAACACAGAGAGAGGCAAAACATATGTGTGGTATTTACTGCAGCCCCAGATGAGTGTGATCAGCAAACTGAAACAATGTCAGACTCTTCCCAGTGCTTCATTCTGCAGCTGAGTCAAAGAGCAGTGCTTGGAGTTGGCTCCTGGGCACAGGCTCTGGACAGAGCCCCCTCAGCACCTGCAGGGAAGGGCTGCAGAACATCTGCAGAACATCTGCAGAGCATCAGGGTCACTGCTGGAGCAGGCTGCCAGTGGGAATGGAAGCTCCATTTTGCCTTCTGTCAGAGCTCTTTGTCTGCAGAGAAAGGAAACACTGAGGCAAAAAAAGCACCAAAAACCAGAGTATGAACAGGGCAGACAGAACAAACAGCCTGGAAGGAAGATTTTTGCAGAAGAGAAGCATGGGCACCATCTGCCAAGCTGTTCATTGAAATACAGGGCTTAATTCAGCTCACCTAGACATACCTCCACTAAAATACTTACATATGTGTTTGGGTCTTTCAAATGTCTCCCTGAACTGGGGCCTTTAAAAGAAAAGTGAATTAAGAACAATGGAGAAAGGAAAAGAAATACTTCCTTCTGCAGGTGGAGTTTCGGGTTTCTTGGTAATGTATAAAAGAGTTCTCTGAAATACTTGCAAGGTAAAATATTGTGTTACTGAAAATCGGTGTAGGAAAAGTTCTTATTCTGCAGGTTTCTTATCGAGTTCTGTTTGTGGATCACATTATGTTTGCTACCCTCAGCATCAGACTCCTCTGAGAAAAATGTCCCTTTTTTTCCTTTTTCCAGAAACGAGATGGAATCCTCCAGTCTCGACAAATCCAAGAGGAAATAACTGGTAACACCGAGTATGTCAACACCACATTTGCCAGCAGTCCAGTAATTGAGCACAGATGTGTCTCAGCAACTCAAACATTTGCTGATATTTAGATTTCAGGATTGGGGTTCCAGGGAAGATGATGCATCAGGCAGTGACTGCATTTTAGCCTTTTCAGGAGCTGCAAACAAGCATCTAAAAATACAAGAGGGGGAGGAAACAGGTGGGGAACTAAAGGCAGGGCTTTAGATGTGTAAAATGGTGGTGGTAAGCCCTGTATGTGCCACCTCACTGAACATTTTAGAACAGGAAAGCTGTTCCAAACCAAAAGAGAGCAGCAATAGAATATCCTGGTTTCTAATTGAATGGAGGGAAGCTGCACTGCTGATTTATGATTAATCTGTATGGATTTATGTGTGATAGTTACTTGGAGGATCAACTGGAGCCAAATCCTGCAGTCCTGAAGAACCCAGCCCAAGCCTTGTTTGGGCTGGATTTCTGTTGAGGTTGGTGTGGCAGATGCATCTTCAAAGCAGAGGGAAAAGTTTCCACAAAATCGATGTGAAAAAGCCTTCTTTACTCAGGCAGGGTGTGCTGATTCGGTTCAAAGTAGGGAATGAGAGACCTGTGAGACTGTGGTGAAGCCAAGAGATATTATTCTGATAAACTCCAGACCAACCCAGATCCTCAGCAGGAGTAACTTGGTGAAGTTATTCACAGAATTCTCCTAATTCCATGAATCTACTCCAGTATTCCCCAAGCTGAAGGTGTTACCATGTGTGCTGGGGATTTTTTGTGGGTCAGTATCTGCAATTGAATTATCTGTAACTCTTTTGTTCTTTTCTTTTCTGTTTTTCCCACAGGGCATTATCAGGAAGGCATGGTGAGTACATTTGATTCTTGTCTCTCTTCTTGAGGCAGCCAGAGTGTGCATGAGTTCTGCACTGGCTTTGATCAAATGGCAAGGAAGGAGAGGATTTCAAGTTGCCCTGGCAAATATACACCACAGGCTGCTGTGGCAGTTAACAAAGGGGGAAAAACCCATTAAAATCACTCTGAGCATCTTTAAAACAAATTTCATTGCTTTTCAGCACTTGTTAATTTGCATGTGCTTTGTGGTTTAACCTCCAGAACATCACTGCAGTGGTGTTAATGATCATGAGTTCCCAGCATAACGTGGAATGGTGTCTTATCACGAGCCAGCTGGTGAATTTTGATATTCTGCATCCATTGCCTGCTTTAAAGATGTTGAGTCAGTGTTCAGCAGGCCATGCCAGGCCCTGTGCCTCGTGTGTCTCACTGCCAGGACTGAGGGTGGCCAGAAACACTCACCTGAGCCTTGCTTGGTGTAAAGTCTGCCTTCTACAAATGCCTCTGGATCTACTCTAGCCTTTGGTTTTCTCCAAAGTGAGGGATATGAATGGTTATTTGTTGTCACTCAGGTGATTGTTGAACAGAAATTGCTCAGGAAAGGCTTGGGTGCCTTTTTATAAATTTTTCTGTTTTCTTCAGAAGGTGACAGCACCCCAGCCATGCTGCCTTAGGTTGGCTGTCCTGCTGACAGTGCCCTGAACTGCATCTGAGAATGGCCCAAAACATCTGTACAAAGGATTGTGTTGCAGATGTGTAATCATAAACTGCTTGAGGTGCTTGATAATGCAGTCAGGGGTCTGTGGGGCAGATCTTCCCCTGTAGATGTAGTGGCTGATGTAAAGTCACGTTCTTCTGCAGAAAATGATTTGGTTCCTCTGGCTGTTTAAGAATTTATGCATAAAGATACTGTTCTTTGCTCACTTTTGAGAAGCAGGGTCCTTAGGTAATCCAAATGCTACCTGAAAATGATGCTGTCTTGTGAATAACAGAGAAGTTGCCAGCAGCTGGCAGCAAGGGAGGAGGATGCAAACTCCCTGGTACTTGGGGTGCAGAGGCTGTATTGAACCTTTTTGCTGAGTGTGTTGTCTCTCATGAATGTGTTTGTTCTGCACTGGAACAACTGCTGCTCAGTATATTAATGGCCCTGGATGTTTTTCAGAAAGAGATGCATTCGACACTTTGTTTGACCATGCCCCAGACAAGCTCAATGTAGTGAAAAAGGTTGGAAGGTTTTTATTTTTAAAGTACCTAACGTGTTTGTGTGCATGCCTGTGTGTGTCAGATGGTGTGGGTGAGCTGAGTGTGTGGGGATGTAATGTATAGCTGCCATGCTTTGCATACATTAAATACAATTAAGCTTTATGCTTAAACACACAAAGTCACGATTATAATGTTACATTTTATTTAATGTTTAGCAGCATGAACTTAACTTTGGAGCACAGAACGACGTGCAGTTATCAAAGTTTCCATCAGGAAAGCTCTCACAAAGTGTATGTTGAGCAGAGCCCAGCTGGCACATTGACTGTACTGATGCCAAGGAGATATCCAGTTTGCAGCTGCCAGAGGTCTGACCCTGGAGTATTTTGGCTGCTGTCAGATTTGAGTGGAGTCCAATTACCCACTTCCCCATAGTCTGCTGACAATGTGGGGGTTTTCTGTGTTTTAACAGTGTATTTCTATACATACATGTATCACATTCGTTTTATTTCTGTTCTTCATTCTTGCAAAAAACAATTTAAAAACAATGTTTAATGTCACATTTCAGTTTCCAAACTTGGGGATTGTGTTGCAGTCTCTTCACTCGTGCAGGTTCTCCTCTGAGTGGAGCTGATACTGCTGGTGTTGAACTGCTGCCCTGCTGAATAGGCCTTCATTGCACTGTTTTCACGTTTCAGACTCTCATCACCTTTGTGAACAAGCATCTGAATAAACTGAATTTGGAGGTGACTGAACTGGACACTCAGGTAGAATTTTGTGGCCTTTCCTCGAGGGGAGAGGTAGCTGCACTGCATTAGGCACCCAGTCCTCAGCTTTATCCAGGAACTTCACTGAGTTACCGCTGAATCAGCTCCAAGATGTTCTTTCAGCAGGAGAAACCCTTCATTTCCAAATACCTTTGTGCAGAGAAGACCCTCACCAATGAAACATCTAAACGAGTTTTGTTAATTCCATTAGCATAAAAGCTAATTAGGAGCGCTGCCTCCCGGGTGCTGCGAGGAGGAGCTGTGGGTTCTGGGCAGGCAGGAATGCTGTGCAGTTGTTCTCTGCCCACCTTTGCAGCAGCCACAGGGGATCACAAAGCCCCCATTGAGGGGAAATTCGGGATTCTGGAGAGCAAAGCTGCTCAAGTGCACGGGAGGCTGTGCAGCTGGGCTGCAGGCTTGATTGCACCGCAGAAATCCTGGGCTGCAGGCTCTTCTCTCTTCTTCTCAGCTGCTAAACTGGCTGGAGAGAAGTTAAAGAAAAGCTTCATCCTGCTGTATTAATACCTCCCCATGTGAACAATCCCAGGAGTTATCATAAGAAAATGATGGGGCTGGGATCTGCACTATCAAAAACACCCAGGTGTCTTCAGGTCAGCCTTTATTTTATGTCTTGATTCGTGCTATTAAGAATCTCTGCTTTATTTAAGCACCTACCAATCTGTTAGAGATTTTTTTCAAAGGTACAATTAAGATTTAGCTATAAATCATTCTGTAAAGGCTTTCAAAAGGGCATTCCCTATTTCTGCTTATTGCATTGTTTACTCTGGGGGAAAACATTCAAATGCACCTAGAAACTCCTGAAGCATTTACCTGAAACATCATCCCTAAGATGAGAGATGTATTTCCATCAGCTGGAAGCAAATCCCCTGCCTCAGGGAGGTGCTGGGCTGCTGGCAGACCTGGTGCCACTGGGTAGGAGTGAGAGACCTGGGACAAAACCACAGAAATGTGGAGTGGTTTGGGTTGGAAGGGACCTTAGAGATCACCCAGTTCCCCTCCTCCTGCAGGGACAGCTTCCAGCAGCCCAGGATGCTCACAGCCCCATCCAGCCCTGCTCAGTTCCAGGCCTGGGGCTTCCCCTTCTCAAGGCAATCCTGTTCCAGTACCCCATTGTTCCATGAGGAAAGCACTGAGAGAGTTTCCAGAAAATGGACTGAGAAACTTTATTTTTTTTCCATAGTTTGCAGATGGAGTGTACTTGGTCCTGCTGATGGGTCTCCTGGAAGGCTATTTTGTTCCCCTGCACAGCTTTTTCTTGACTCCTGATAGTTTTGAACAAAAGGTAACTAGATTTCATTTTTCTGTTAAAAACAAACAAATAAATATGTCTGGTTGTAGAAGGATAACAAACAAATAAATATGTCTGGTTGTAGAAGGATAACACAGACTTTCCTGTGTAAGTTTGATGCAAGCAGCTGAAATCAAGAAAGGACCGTACTGGTTCAGCCACTCCAAGTATTTTAAAAAATCAGTAAGAGAAAATTATATTAATGATGGGGTGGTTAGCAAGTATTAACAGATTTTGGCAGCCATTGTGTGGTGCTGTCATTGAAGGAGACCTACTGTTCATTAATGTATATAGGTTTCATTAATGTATATAGGATTACACGCAAGCATTGATGACAGAACTGATTTTTTGTGTGTCCAAAATCCAAGAATTTAACATTGGAAAGGTTTAATGGGCTTTGGAAGCATAAAGGCATATATGTACAATGTGTCAATTTAAGACCAGCATTACATCAGTGTCTGTAGCTGTCCAGGCAATTCATCTGTCTGTTCAAGACAAGAGCACTTCAGGGGCCATCATGGTCCAATTTTTGAACTTGCAGGAGGTGGGCTGTGCTTACTTGTAAGTAATCTTATTGAGAGTTATGTTAGTTCATGTTAACTTTCAATTACCTTTATCTTTCTGCAACCTCCATCACCCAGAATCAGCAAAACAGTGGATTGTCTGGATTCCAAGGAGCAGATATACAGAGCCCTGACTATTTTTTCCTGCTGAATAACTGGGTCTTCGGCTTTAACTCTATCTTGTCTTGACCATTTGCAGTGCACAGGGTTCCCAAGAGTGACTGCCTTTGTTGTGTTGCCAGGTTGTCAATGTTTCCTTTGCGTTTGAGCTCATGCAGGATGGTGGACTGGAAAAACCAAAGCCAAGACCAGAAGGTACCTATGCTACTGTTTTTGTATCTCCTTAAAAATTTGTGCTGGATCCAGGTTTTATGGTGTGGCTAAATGAAGGTTAAGTTAATCCAACAGCAAAAGGCAAGGTACATTTTGTAGTGCTCGAGGAAATCTGTATCTTAAATGTGCTTTTTCCAAGTTGCAACGCTGCCTTTCTTCATTGGCCAAATAGAAACACAATATTCCCTGAAAGAGAGAGAACACAGTTGTGATTGGTGTCACTGACACATGTGAATTGCTCCAACTGCCCCATTTTCCTCCATCTCACATTTTCACACTAAACCTTGGGTATTCCAGTAACTTGTAGGATTTTTCACAAAAGAGGGAGATGCTGTGGAAGGGGAATTTCAGATGTTCTCACACATGCCTTTGAATGCAGGACCTGCCCATGCATATGTGAATTGGATACAGAGCTGGGGACTGGCAGTGGGATGTGCTTCAGGGAGGACAGATGTTCTGCTGCTGACTTGAGGAGCACTGGGATTCCACTCCTCTTGGTTCTCAGACACCCAGTGTTCCAATCCAGCTTTTTGGGCTGGAGACAGAGCCCTGGATCCCCAGGTTGATGGGTACCTCCAGTTAGCACATCTTTCCGTGCAGGGGCTGGGTGTGCAGCTCCTCCTCTTCCCCCAGGGATGGTGTCTGGGCTCCTGCTGCCTGCCTGCCCTGATGATCAGCGGGGCTGTGTCTTTCCAAGGCCAATTCCAGGATTGCATTCCGTGGTGCTCACGGCCTTTTCCAGCCACAGTATTGGATTGCCGTTCCCCGAGGAGCTGGGACATGTCAGAGTGCTGCTTCTAGCAGTCACAGCTCCCTGGAGATTCAGGCACTGGATCAGGTTCTGCTCCATTCAGGATTTTTTTCCCTCCCTGCCAGCCTCCAGGTTCTGCCAGCCCCAGAGACAAGCACACACACACAATAATGCAGCTCAGGATCCAGCCTGTGCATTAAATCTGGACCTACCCAGCCTGGCTTTTTTTCACTTCTTTTCATTGCTTGAACTCTTATCCACAGTCATGCTTAACTAAACCACTGGTGAGTGTATCACAAACCTTTATGTCTGAAATAGTCAAAGTGAGAAGGGGGAAACAGTGAAATCGAGGGATCCAAGTAAAACACAGAGTATCTGTGATCCCTTACTCCCCATGGAGGTTTAAAATTCTTATGGCATTTAATTTTTCAGGTATTTATTGCTCTAGGGGACAGCTAATTTTTCCAGTATAAATCAAGCCATAAGGATATTTCAGCATATATAAGACATTTCTTGTGCAATTATTGAAATGCTTAATATGAAACTTCCTGCCTGATGTGAATGGAAAAACACATCTGTTTTATGTGTTGTTACATTGGGCACAATGCCCATACTTAAAATTTCCAGTGAGCAAAAGAGCATTGAAAAGGATCTTACCCTAAATGTGTACACTAAATACTCTTTGAATTCCTACACTGTTGCTTTGAGGTTCTTGAGGAAAAAATAGAGCGCTGAAAAGTGCTTTAGAATATGAAAAACATATTTAGTGGAAAAAAAAAAGAATGCAGTTAAATAAATTAGTATGAAAACCAATGATTTTTATGGGGTCAACAGTTTATTTGGGTTATTTGCAATATAATTGAAAAGGTCTTAAAAAGCTTTCTGTGACCTTTTTACTTTAAAAATGGCTGGAACATTAATCTGCTGAGTCTCTAACGAATTCATTTGCAGTCTGAGCCTTTTCAGATCCCTCCTTGCAATGGGTATGTCGAAGACAAACTCAAGTTTCTCTTTTAGAAAGGTGCAGCCAGTAAAATGTTGCATGTGTTGGTGAAAGCCATGTGGCAATGGAAGTCCCATCTTTCTCTGGGAGCGTGCTGCTTTTACTTGGAGCCCTTCTGTGGAATTCTGTTGTGGTTGTGGAATTCTTTGGTGGTGGTGTCTTTGCAAAGACCTAACCAAGTTACTTCTTTGAGAAGAGAAGTTCTGTATTTGGGAACAAAAAAGTGGTTCTGCACCTTGCTGCTGGTCAGAAAGGGGAAACTGAGGATTGCAGTGGGATCTTGTGGGGCAAGGCACCCTTCCTGCAGCCTTTGGCATTAACTCTGCATTTCATACCCAGCATTTGCCATCTGATTTATAAAGAGCCACAAACCCACGCTGGCTCTGGTGTCATAACCCAGCAGAAAATCTAGGCTTGAGTGTTCCCAGCCTTTGTCCATGGATGTGAGCTCAGTATCTTTAGTTGGCTGCTTTAGGACACCATGCATAGGTTTGATTGGATCAATTATTCAAACTGTGAATAATTCATAATAACTCAGTCTGTGAAAACATCAGTGTAGATAAATGCAATGCTTAAACTCTGATGTTGCAATGCTCCACGTTCTGGGCTCACTCAGAGCTTTTGGCCAATTCCAAGTCAGGAATTTGAGATCCCGTGCATTCAACAGAAAGAGACAGGACAATTCTAATTCCACTCTGCTCTTTCTGAGGGCAGCTCAGAATCCCTGTTGGAGACTGACTAAAGCACTGGTGGAGACTGCTGCAGTAGTACTTGTCAGTTTGTTTTATAGATTTCTTGTGAAATAATATTGACTTTCTCAAGAGCTGCTCTTTGAAACAGAAGGTATTCATTAGCTTTTTTGTTTCATATAAATCCTTTCCTTTAGATGCTGAGTTTCTGAGGGCTGATTCAGCCATGAATGTCAGCTAACCCAAGGAATTTTCAGATGTTTGTTCAAGGAGCACTTACTTGTATACCTAGCTTCTTTAGATCCTCTGGAAAGTTTAAACTTGCCTCTAGCTATCTTGCTGAAATTAGGCCTGGGAGAGGATGCTGCAGCCCAGAACCTGCCAAGTCCTACAATTCTTACATGAGGGGAGGGTTCCATTGCTTACTGGCTGGTGACTTTTGTCCCCAAATCATTACTTTCCAGCCACAACTGACTGAAGATGGAGTTGTCTAAGAATGTGTAATCCTGGGCACACCTTGCCTCAGGAGCACCTGAGCTTGGCTACATTTCAACATCAGCAGCAGTAGCTATTTGTATCCCTAATTAGAAGTGGTTAAAATATCAAACTTTGAGTTGCCAGTTTGAAAATTGTGTTTTATTGATATTTCTACTCTTTTTTGCTATCCTTGTGATCTAATGTTCACGGGTACTAATGTGAGCAAGGGAGAGAATGGGCACTTTATTTTCTGGAAAGCATTTGGAGCTAATGAAGTTACTGATTTGTTTTCCCTTGTCTTTTTTCCTAGATATTGTAAATTGTGACTTGAAGTCTACACTGAGAGTACTGTACAATTTGTTTTCCAAATACAGGAACGTGGAGTGAAGAATTGATTTGGGTCACAAAGGAGTGTTAACAAAGAAAACATCATTACTGGCAGATCTTTCCTCGGTATTCCTCTGCATCTCTGTCCTAAAAAGAACCAAAAAAAAGAACAAAACCATTTACCTGAAGAATTTTTCATTATTAGTCGATTTTTCTGGCACTACTATTTTCACAGTAGATTTAAAACCAATATAGCTTATAAAGAAAAACAAAAGGTTTGGGGGAAGATATCTGGGTATATTCTGGGAGCCTCTGTTGTCTTCACACTGTTTTTCATAGGGGAAGCAACAATGAAAAAAAATTACCAAGTTTAATTCAAATCAGCCTTTGGAGCTGATCATAGGAATATTCTGTACTATGTTATTATTTTTTGCATATATCTTTTGTTTAATCTGGGAAGGGGAAGAATATTTTCTATCCATGGTAAGACAGTTTCATTCTAATTGTGAGGAATGTGCATGGGGAGAAACAGTTAAATACACTCGTTCACATAACAGCTGAAAAGAAGAAATTTAACCTGGTGAATGCATAGTTCCAGTGCCATTTTAAGGCTTTAATTTTATGGGTACAAGCTGAAGTGGCTACTCATTCCTTCAGACTTACTATAATGTGATGCTCTGTTTCAATATGTGCTATTGAGCATTCCCCACTTTGCAGCTTTTCACTTGTTTTTGTTCAAGGCAGAGATCTTTTTGCAAAGAACACTTTTCAGGAAGACACACCTGCATAATGCAGCTTTTCTATAGTATTTGTATTATCATATAATATTAGAAAGTAGAAGAATGGCTTGGTTTTATTTTGGCAGTTTAATCACAGGATTATCAGATTGCAAGTTTAGATTGATTGCTGAACAGAATTTAGAATTGTCCCTTTGGTTGATTTTATGATGAATGTATGTTGCTGCATATGCATGCAATGTACAAAAAATCAACAAGTTTCTATGTTCAACACAGAAAAATAAGATTCACTTTCTGGAAATGGCCATAACTCCTTCCATCTGCTAAGATTCCATTACACTGTAAAGTTCTTTGGTGATTTTACATGGCTACAGAGATTTCTTTTATTTAATTAGCTGTTACCTGTTTGGTTTTAGCTTTACCAAAGACACAAAAGGGAAATGGGAGTTGGTTCTCCCCTCAGCCTGGCACCAAGCTCCAGCTGTGCTTCCAGGGGAAGCTGGTGGAGACTGCCTGGATCATTCCTGAAACAAAGCATCCACTGCAGCCACAAATTCTGGGTTACCCAGTCAGGGAGAAAAGAATCCTCGGGCTGGAATTCCTGGATAACCCTTCAGGAGCTGGGAATGCTCAGAGCAGGAAGGAGCTGGAATTCCTGGATAACCCTTCAGGAGCTGGGAATGCTCAGAGCAGGAAGGAGACTTGCTGCCAGCCATGCAGAAGTGGCTCAGGCCAAGGGAAGAGCGACCTGTGAGCTCTGGAATGTTCCTCAGGAGAAAGGCAGGGCTGGCCAAGGGCACTCAGCAGCAGCTGGATGTCCCTCAGGATGGGAAGCATCACCCAGCTTTCCATTCCCCAGGGCTCTTTTCACCTTTCTTTGGTGCAGAGCTTTCCAGAGCAGCATTAGCACAGAGGGAACTCCAGCTCTTACTGTGTGTCCTTGCTAAACACCGACTGATGTTTACTAATAAGGTGATACTGACTGCTGCTGGGGGGGCTGCAAAATTATTTTTCTGAGAAATAATAGGAACTTTTTCAAGGGAAAGTCAGTATTCGATTCAAAGGGCAATGCCTGGATGTTCTCTGGTCTCAGAAATTATCTGCTTGTAATAAGCACTCTAAATGTCTTTATTAAAATATTTTCTTACCTGTGTGTTTTTAGCTGAGTTTCTGAAATTAGAGGTACAGAAAACAGCAGTTATTTGCCCTTTACAGGGAGAAACAGCTGGACATCTTGACCTCAATGAAAGTGAACATTTTGTCTTTAATATCTGAGAAGCTAAAAAATAGGAATTAACCAGACATTTTTTTGAGCAAACTGAGACAGAACTCCTCATGTATATAGCAGCAGCAATTTCAGCTTATTTTAATGTTTAACATGCAATTTTTCGTTTGCACATCAAGTAGTAATTGTAATAGCTAATTAAAAAACAAACAATGTTCTTTCTGCAGACCATGCTCAGCTGCAACACCTTTACATTTCAACAGTGCCAAAATATATTTTGATTGCCTTGGTTTTCAGGAGTGCACTTTCTTTAAAGAGGAGATTTATATGTGTAAAGTGAACAGTGAAACTGTTTCCTTTGCCTGGACTTGAAAATAAGTATTTCTCGTGCTATAGTGGTATAACATTATTGGAGATTTATCTGTCAGACTCCATTTCCATCCTTCTAAAACATGAAACTGAGACAGAATTATTAAAAACTCGTGCTGAAATGCAATTAGGCAGAACCATAGAAACATTTAAACAATATCCAACCTTTCCACAATTATCCATCCTATGGTAAGAACTGATCTAGATTAAAATCTGCTATATAAACAACAGTGTCCTGTGTAAATATAGATCCATGTGATAGTTTTAACACTTACACACAAACAGTGTATGCTGCCATGTAGGAGTGGGTCACTGCTTACATTTTTGACAGTGTAGATTTAAATAGCTATCAGATAAAAGCGAAATCTAATATAGAGATTATATCTAATATTTATTGCCTTGATTCAGAATATAAGAGAAATATAGAATACTACTGTAGAGAGCTTGCTTTTCAGCAGTTGGTGTTGGCCAGCCCTTTCCTTCAGGGAAGGGAAAAGTTACCTGGGCCCAATTCTGCCACCCCTACGTTCCTTTTATTCTTGGTGCACAGCAGTACTGCTGAAAGCAGAATTGTTTAAATTTAGTCAGTCCCAGGTTCATTTGTTGTAAGTGACTGAGAGGACCCGAACAGTGATGTGATGAGTGATGGAGCTCGTGTCAGGCACGAGCAGCCACGGGGAGAGGCCGGTTCCTGCAGTGGTCCCAGGGAGAGCTGCTGCTCTCAGGCTGCTCAGGAGAGCCCTGGGCATCCTAAAGCCAGGCAGGGGAAATCCAGGGCGCTGCCTGAGGGTCTGGTGTTGGATCCCTGCCTCTTGTGCTGTGTCACACAAAGCCCACAGGCAGCTGAGCCCTCCAAAAAGTCACCAACTCCTGGCCTGCCTTGAGGAGCAGCAAGCCCTGCTGCTGCTGGGGCTCTGTGCTCCACCTAAAGAGGAGTTTTCTGTGACTTCTGACCCATCCACTGCACCAGCACTGTGGTATCCAGGCTTCTTTTGTGGCTGGAGACGGGCATCCTTTCCCTGCTGATGGATCCTGGTGCTCTTTCCACCACACAAAACTTATTGTTTGGTTGTTTGTTTGTTTTTAAAGAGGAGCTACAGATTTTTCATAGTGTGTTTTTAAAATAATTACCTAAAATCCTGATATCTTGAGGTCAGCTCCTTTCAGATTTCTTTCTCAGCTGACTGGCTGTTATTTACCGTGAGGAACAAGTGCTATAAAAAGGAACCTTTGCATAATTTTACCCGAGACACGCTCGTAAAGCCCAGAACTGGGCTGCTCTGTATTTCTGATGGAGTCCAGACAAAGCAAGTTAACTATTAAATGAGCTGGCTGCAGGGTATCCAGCTCCTTCCATCTCCTAGTGAGGAGTGTCTGGGCGTTGCAGAGGGTGGCAGCCCTGCAGCTCCAGAGCTCAGGAACCCGAGTGGGCCCCCAGGAGCTGCAGAAGGTCCTGATCTGCTCCAGGGGATGGTGGAGCAAGGGGCAGGAGAGCAGCAGAGCTGTTTCACACAGCCTTGCAGGGCTGGGGCATGCAGACTGTGATGCTTGAGGTAAATGCTACTTGCTTGACTTTTGTTCTTACTTTTTATTCTGGTTTTAGTGCTACAGATTATTTTAGCTGACACCTTACTGCAAGCCACAGCGTTGTAAAGCAGAATGGCTTTTAGAGTTTATTTCACTAGAGAAAGTTAGATGTGATATTTAATGTCCTAGGTGCCAGCCTTAGGGCTAGCTTTTGTTACTCTTGTCTTCCTCTCAAAACAACCTTCATGAATGGCCAAGCATCCAAAGAGAAAACAGTGCCTTGAGACCTCTTGCAAGATTTTTACACTCTTACCTAGTAGACTTTGGTCATTTTATTGTAAGAATTAGTGTTGGGCTTTCTCTTTGCAGCCAAAGCCCAATTACAGACTGAAGAAATTACAATTAGTTTGCCTTAAGATGTTTTATTTTGATTTGTCACATGAAAAATGGAGATAGCATCACCAAAATTTTAAAATTAGGCATACCTCAGCATCCACAGGTTTTTCAAAGAGGTTTTGAGTCATTCAGCATTTACAAGGGCTAATTTTATGTATTCTGAAAATATTTTGTGTGACTTTCTTTCTGCAGTAAAGAGATTTTCTTTTCTAACAGTTTAATACCATGCACTCTGCAACAGTGCTAGTCATTGAAACATTTGGGCTTCAATTTCAATATCAGACTAACTGAGAAAAAAAAAGAATTCTTTCAAAATTTGCTAAACATGTATCCAAAAAGAATTATTAGTTAAAGTTAAGCTGCATTTCCTTCAAGTGCAGTTAGTAGCTTTCACAGAATACATGTACTCTGTAAGTAAAACACTCTCTTGCTGATTTTTTTTCCCCCCTGTGCTTTTTCTGGAACCTTTTGTTATGATCCACAATAAAATTTGCACCTGAAAACCGAGGCTGTGTGTTGTTGTTGGGTGGAAGGATGAGCTGTCTGAGGGAGGCTGTGTGTTTTGTGTTCTCCAAACGATGTGACCTCTGGGTGCACCCAGCCCTTTTCCAGCCACCCCTGTCCGTGGGTGTGCAAGGTGTTCATTGTTCTGTTCCCTGGGGGCTGCTGACAGCTGAACGTGGGCTGGCAGAAGCAATCCTGTAAACATGGCTTTGGAATGATGAGCAGCAGCAGGTCAGGGAAATGCTGTCTTTGACTCCAAGTAGCAAAGTGCACCTTCACTTTTAGGTGCTGAGCGCTTCAGTGGGGTATCTCAGCTGGACAGAATGCAATTCTCTGCAGAGCAATTCTGTCCGTTTCAGATCTAACAGAATGGTAGCAAAACATTAAAACTGAAATTGTCTTGTCCGTGTCAGGAAAGAATTAGGAAGATTCTGAGATCTAGCTTTTTATAAACTGGTCTTTGTTGCAACCCTTTAATGCAGGGGCTTGGATGCAGAGCTTGGAGCCAGTCCAGGATATCGGCATCTGAAGTGCTCCAGATCACCATTTTTAGCCACTGAATTGTTGGCCTGAATCCAGAGCAGGTGTTTGATCTTTAGGTCTGCTTGTAAAGCTGAAACCACCAAGCAGAGCTGCCTAATCAGCAGGGAGCACTAAAGACAGGGTGAGTTTTAATGCCAGGCTTCAGTCCCAGTCTGTAACTCAGGGCTGAATAGAAGCAATGCTTAGGATTCATGTTCTTAACTCCCACCACAGGCGCTTGGAGCTTTTGTCCTGAATTTCATGGGTTTGTCCTGAAGAGGAAGTAGACTTGTTCTTGCATCACAGTCCAGCACAGAGGCCAGGCCTGGCTGCCTCCATCACTGCTGCTCCCACAGAGAGCAGAGGATGTGGGTTTGGTGTCCTGCTGCAGCCCTGGGAGTTAATCCTTCTCCCTTCTCCAGTCCTGCAGAATGAACTGAGGGTGAAACCGTGTTTCCACACTGGTTGGAGGGGCACTGCTGCTGCCTGAGCTGAAGTTTCAGCTCTGTGTGGAGTAACTGCACATAAACTGAGACAGGAGAGCAGAAGAGGGAGCACAGCTGGTGATCGAACTGTTGAAAAGGTGGAAAAGGCTTTGGGGGAAGAACCTGTCTTCTGGGCCTCCTGTAAGGCCTGCTTCTCTACCTCAGTCAACCAAAAAGTGTTGAAATTCCCATCAAAACACATTTTGGAGAG